CCACTCATATTTTTATCGTATGCACAGTAGAGGCAGGTACAGGAGGTGGGGGGTGGAGATCAAGTGATTTTGTCACCATTTTTGAAAAAACTTTTAAAAGTTTGGATAATTTTATGGGAAAATGGCAAAACTGACTTATAAAAAACCACCTGCACCCCTTCCAAGATAGAAACCCCTCCTCCTTTTCTAAAAATCCTGTATTCATGCCTGTACTTTACTGCATATACGTAAAAAATAAAATTGACTGCAATAACCAGCAATTCTTTGGAGTAATTGTCCTAGAAGCATGAATATAATTTAGTATAAGTTTATGCAAAATAAAAATATTGATATTTATTTACCTGTAATCTGGCTTCAGTGATTAGTATTTGGATTTGGTGTGGTAATCCTTAAAGCAGGTCACTGTACACAATCTAATGTTGGAAGAAGGACAGCAGAGCTCTTAATGTGTGTACTGACTCTACCAACAGTGTTTAGTGATGTCAAATTGCAGTAGATGGCAGAAGCACAAAGCAGAAAAACAGCTAAATGCTGCAGAATCAGAAAGTAGAGTTTACCCAAAGACTGTCTCAGGGTGAACAATTTTTGTTCAGCTTGCTCACCACAAGACTGTCTCAGCTTAACTGCCAAAGTGGTTAACCTATTCAAGCAGTGTCCTTTTGCTAGTAGTAGAGCAAATCAGATTTTATATTGTATTTACAGAAATACTGAATATAACTTTAAAGACATAAGTCACTGGTTAGACATCATTTGTAGTATTGTATTCAGCCTTAGGCTACTTGTTTTAAAAAAGATATTGAACTGTTGAGAAAGGTTCAAAGGAAGGCTACTAGAATGATACCTGGAATGGAAATGTTGCCATACAAGCTCAGGTTCCTATCTCTAAAATGTTCTCTTGAAAGAAAAGAAGAGTTGGAGGAGATTTGAGTGAAATGTTTAAGATTTTGGTTGACAAGGAGTCATCTTCAGCTAAGAGAATAATATTTTTTTCTAACAAGGTGGTTCACCTTTGAAATGTGTTGCTTACAGGTGTGATGGACACTGCAAACTTAAGGGAATTTAACTCTTTCAGCACAGGTTCAGTTCCTGGGAATAACCTCATAACCATTTTGTGCTTGTTAAAGTTTTCATGCTATAACTTTTAAATTAATAAGCATATGTTAACTAAATTTGGCAGATTATCAGTAATAATAATGCTTGACATAAAGCATGAACAATGCTTTCAAATGTAAAATATCTAATTTTTTTTTTTTTTTTTATCAGGTCTTAAGGTTTGTAAAGCAATGTTTTTCTGATGTCTTATTTTTCTTTTCGCATGTTGCCTATCTATCATGCAAAGTAATATTCATTTTAAGATTAAAAATACTTTTATGCATTAGAAAATTTTCAAATTTCACATGTTAAATCTTTATAATGTCCAGATAGTTATCAAACATTTCTCAAGAAAAAACTTTATATATTATCTGTTCTTTTCAGTAACGAATTTGTGTACGAGTTTGGTAGATTTGACCAAACTCTTAACCACCATAAAAAATTAGGAAATAAATATAAATTGTGCCTTTTTCATTCTAGAATGACAACAAATTATAGCATGAAAACATAAATGTTTAGACTAAATAGCTTATATCTCATAACATTATACATTTGTATATATCTATTATTTTTATTATATTGACCTTTCAGCCATGCCTCACTAACAATACAGAAGTTACAATGACACAGCACATGTGCTCTCATGTGACCGTATCCGATAATATAAAACTGACCTTTAGTCTTTACAAAGTGACCTGTCTTGCCTGTGTTTTAGTGGACTAGTATTTTGTAAAATACAGTCATATTTCAATTATTATACATATGTGTATATATATATTATTGCTATTTAGAAATAAATTCTTAAGCTTATTTTTCTTGAAACACAGAACAGTAAATAAAGAAGTAATGCAAACTATTATCCCTTCTAGTTATGACCTTTGTATTCGGTTCTGCTTGATGTAGGTTGCTAAGCCTTTAAAAATTTCACATGTAGAGGATATGAAACAAAGTAATTTTTTTTAGGTTTTATATATACAGTTGAATAACCAAAAAATCATAAATTACTACATCAGTACCATAGAATTCCACTTTAATTTATCAAGCTTAGTAAGTAAGATGTATTTTAGTCTACAAAATATATGAAATTTCGAGCAGACTAAAGACACACCTTACCTCCTTGAAATCTTTCACATGTGCTCTCTCATAAATCAAATGAAAAGGCAGGCAAATTCATAAAAGCAAAGAGAGATAGAGATAGTCCAGGTTTTACTGATTCACAGACTGTAGAAGGAAATAGAAAAATATGAAGAACACATATATTTACACAGCTACAAAATTTAGAGAATGAACAAAAAGTGCAAGTTGTGTTTATCAAACACTTATGTCTCCACTTTGATCATGACCATAGATCCATGACCTCCAAAAATCAAACTGCCCTAGAACTTTGTACATAGTACTTGTACAAGTTTGGTCAAAATCCATCCATCCAATCTTGAGATATCCTGTCCACAAGATTGGGATGGATGAACAGACAGGAGCAAAACAATATGCACCACCTTACTACACAATGGGGCATTAAAGTTACCATTTGCTTAAATCGAAAATGTATTTCCAATAATACTTACCTCCTCTCACGTTTATAGCTATTACTCGGCTGCCAGGGTTTCTTCCTTTGCCCATCTAAGCATTGGTCTGACTTTTTATCGCTTGCTCCAGTCTCTTTTACTCCACTCAATTACCCTTGGTGATATTTATCATATGACATTCTCCACCCTCTATCCTGGTACTGTATATAACACCTCATTTAGATAATGTTATCTCTTTATCAAGACTGACTCAATCCCAGTATCCAACACTGACTCTTAGTGGAGAGGAAGGGTGGGAGAGTGTGAAAGGAGGCAAGTATTACTGGAAATACATTTTCAATTTAGAAACATATTAGTATCCAATACATACATACCTCACACTTCTAGCTAGAATCCCACACTGATAGGGTAAAGGGGTTAGTGAGAGTGTCTGCATAGATCATGGGTATATCAACAGAAGATTGACACACCAATAAGAGAACCACACTACATCCAGAAGGTAATTCCTGTATTGTTGGTGGAATTTTACATGACTTATAATCACTATCGGCCATGCACCCTCCAAATATCCGAGGCTCCACCACTTGGGGTTGGAATTAAAGGACCATGGTCCCAATATCCCATGTTGATGGCTTGGGCTATTTGTACTGCAACTATATATATATATATATATATACTTATGAGTGTATCCCAACCTATACCCATAGAGTGATGTGTTCCGAGCCACTGGAATCATGATGAGAAAGTAAGCAACACTGAAGTGGACAAACTACCTCCTCCACCTGAAGAAGTCAGAAAGGCAACACCCCAAACTCAGAATGACAGGATCATGTATGCCTTACTCAACCTGAGGAAACAGAACTCATCCAGTATGGAATTATGAACACTCATCTTCACTCCATATAAACCCAACAAATGAACCTAAAATTGATGTCTCCCATAATTGTTACTTCAGTCTTCTTATTAATATTAGTAGCAATATTAAAAAATTTTTTAAATTTTACAATTAAACCCTCAACTGTAACCCATAGAAATTCCACATCATCAATGTAAAAAGTTACAGTTAATCCTTTATATAGAGCCAACCCACCCCTCTTAAAAAGTCTCACTATTAAATAATTTATAACCTAGAATTTCAAAATAATCTCTATTATCAATCTTCTCCAAATCTTACCAAGTTTTAGTAATTCCCATTACATCATAGCCTTTCATTTCAACTAGAGCTCTTAATTCATCTGTTTCATTCCTGGTATTACCAAAGCAATAATAATTATAATTAATAGCAACTAAGCTGAAAACTATGATTATCTTTAAATCTCAAACTTATTTTAAAAATCATTATTTAACTTCATTGCACTAGCTATCCTGTCAATTTAAATACACTTTTCCAAGCTCTCTCACCATTATGCAAATTTAGTTTAACTTATATGTAATGAATATATTCAGAGCTTCCCAAAGCATCCTACTATTTAATCTGCTTCAGTGGAGCCTATCTCTAGCATATAATTCACCCTTATCTTGAGAACTATCATATACCTCCAGCCTCCTCACCTGATACTTTTAGGCATATCCCCAATGATCTTTCATTTTAATTTTTTAAGACTACAATCCTGCTAAATAATACATTTGTACTTCTAGGAATGGGCACTTCCAAAAAAAAACACATTTATTTCTATCCCAAAACTTTTTAGGGGAGTTCTTGTATCTAGTAAACAGCTCCTCTTCTTTATAAATTTCAACTTCATTTGCTTTTACATATTCTACTTTTCTAGTTCTAATCCTTCTTTGCTTCCTAAGTTCCTATTACAAATAACTTCATACATAAACTCATGATGATAAAGAGAATGGCTCCCCACAACAAAAAGCCATATGATCATCTAATCTTCAGTGCAACCAGTCAGTTGTTTAAATTGATTAGAGACATATACTTGAATCAGTGAATACTAATTAAGTGTGTATCTGTACTGTGTAAACCCTTGTAAACCCACCACTCACGTTCTTACCCAAAATATCCTTTAAGATACCTTAACTTAGTAACTAGAAATTTGTCTATATGTATTTTTTCCACATTCCTCTTATTTTTTTCCATTTCCTTTTCAAATTTTTTTTAATTAGATATTATTTTTTTCAAATATAAATAATATTAACATTAACAAGTAATCAAGGTTTAGCCTTTATTAGAGCTTTAGTTTAGGAGTAAATAAAAAAACCACAACGTGAAGATAATATACTAAAATGTTTCGTTACGCTTACAATTGGAAGAATTGTAGTAATTAAGTTACTTTCCCCTAAAAAAGGGGGTTAAAATTCGGAGATACTCAACTTATAAATTATAATTAAACTATTTAAGCCTTTAGTTTAAGTTTAAGGTAATACACGCACTTTTCGTTTCTTGACCCTCCTACAAAAATCAGATTCTTGCATCACTTAAGTTAATCCAACTTCTTGCCAGTTAATATTGCTTATTTCATTTTGGTCCACACAGTTGTATGTTGTAGATAATCTATATGCAAGCATTCCAATCTTTTTTTAACACAAAACAAAAGTAGTACATTGTAATGCTGATACAATACTTATCTCACGTAATTCACTTTCCGCCCTTTTTTAATTATAATTCATTTTGTTTTGCGCATGTGCGCGTTTGGCATGGTCACGTGGCATATATCATAACAGGCGTAAATTACGCTTTTGGCATTATGACTTGAAAGCGAGGCCATCACTGCTAACAACATGGTTCATTTCTCGTGCCAAATTGTATCAATGACTAGCGGTCTAATTATAAAGAAAAAATGTGTGTCAGATAAAGACTTAAGTAAGAAATGGATGAAGGCTCATGTTTCAAGATAAGATAGTCGTAAATGAGCGAAAAGTGGAGACTTGTGGTATCGCTATTAATATTTTCCAGTGTTTACATATATCTAATCAATAGATAATTAAAAATAACTTAATTAAATGTAGAGAATTTACAAACACAAAATTAAAATACAGCAAAGTCTTAATTTTACGGGACGTATCTTCTTCCGTACTGGTGTCAGTCTCATTGGCTTCTGTTTCACGTGACGTTCATCTGCTCTATCAGGAAATGTCCTATTATCAGTAATAGTCACATCAGTGGTAGTAACTTCGTT